TCTTGAATCAGTTCTAAAACTCTTTTAGTACTAGATTCTGGCTCCTGTAACGTCAATACTAAGTCATCTGCAAATGCTCTCAATTTGTACTGTTTGGCTCCGACCTGTATACCTTTAACCAACCGGTCCCTTCTAATCATATTCAGCAGAACCTCCAGGACCGATATAAAAAGCAATGGGGAAATTGGGCAACCTTGTCTTGTCCCTTTTTCTATCCTAAATTCTTCCGTCACCACATTATTTACTATTAGTTTAGCCTTTTGTTCTGAATAAATTGCACTTATACCGTTTTCAAAACCTTGGCCTACCCCCATCCCCTGTAGGTTCTTCTTCATAAAACTCCAAGAGATATTATCAAAAGCTTTCTCCGCGTCCACAAATATCAAAACTGCTTTAGTATTTATGTTCACTTCTAGTTTTTCCAAAATATCAATTATATTCCTCAAATTATCGGACAAGTGTCTTCCCGGGAGAAAGCCCGCTTGGTCTTTATGAATCTCTTCCATCAATACTTTTTTCAATCTCTTGGCCAAAATGTCTGCAAAAATTTTGTAATCCACATTAAGTAACGATATGGGGCGGTAGTTCTTAAGCTGAGTCTTTTCAGTCTCTGTCTTCGGTATAAGTGTAATGTACGCCTCTTTCCACGACTCTGGTGCCCTTTTCCCTTCCAATATTTCATTGCAGACTTCCTTTAAAGGTTGTAATAACCACTCTTTCAAAGATCTATAATATCTAGAAGTCAGCCCATCCGGTCCTGGAGATTTGCCTAATTGCATGTTTTGAATGGCACCTTCTACTTCCTGTTCAGATATTTTATAGTTCAACATTAGTTTACTTTCTTGGGAGATTTTTGTAATCCATTTGTCTTCAGAAATCGGTCTATGTCCATTTCTTTCTGTGGCCCTTGTGTATATAGTTGTTTAAAATACCTCTGGAAACAGTTTCTAATCTCAGTTGGGTTGTGTATATTCTTTCCTTCCACTTCTAAATTTGTGATAGTGTTTAATTTTTGTCTTTTTTCATTTGCCAGGCCAGCAATTTCCCACATTTGTTAGCAGATTCAAATGTTTTTGTCTCATTTGTTTGATTTTCCATTCTATTTCCTGGTTCATCATTTCCATATATTGTACTTGATATAACTTTATTTCTCTCAAAATCTCCTGCGACTTTGGTTTTGCTCTCAATTTCTTTTCACTTTCTTTTATTTTCCCCAAAATTTTGTCTTTCTTCTCATTTTGACTTCTCTTCTTTATTGCATTCTGTTGTATCAGAAACCCTCTCATGACAGCTTTGCTTGCGTCCCAGATTACTCTTTTTTCTACATTAGTGTTCATATTTATTTCAAAATAGTCTCTCAAGGTTTTTTGGGCCTTTTTATACACTTCTTCATCTCTGAATAAGGTGTCATTCATCCTCCATCTGAAGGAGCCAGTTGATATTAGTTTCAACTCCATCCTTACAGCATTATGGTCGGAGCAGGTTTTTGGGCAGATTTCCACTTTCTTTATCTTTGGTGCCATTCCTCTAGTTACCCATATTTGGTCAATTCTAGTCCATGTCATCTTGGCTTCAGAAAAGAAGGTTCCCTCTCTTCCCAAGGGGTTCTTTGTTCTCCAAGTATCAACTAAGTCCAAATTATCTGTCATCTCGAAGAATGTTTTCGGTTGTCTACCATCCTTGGTAACTACCTGTCTTTGTGCCTTATCCATGTTTGTAGATACTACTCCATTCATATCTCCCATCAAAATCAGATTGTAGTCCAAATAGTCCATTAAGGTCTCATGCAACTTTTTAAAGAATTCAGATTTCCCCTCATTCGGTGCATAAATTCCTACTATCAAAAATTTCTCTCCTTGAACTTGAATTTCAATTGCCAGAAATCTTCCTTGGTCGTCTTTAAAAATAAATTTCGGTGATAGTCTCTCCTTTGCATAAATCACAACTCCTCTTTTTTTAACTTTGTCAGATGAAATAAACTCCTGTCCCAATCTCTTGTTAATCAGTAGTTTCCTGTGTAACCTTGTTACATGTGTTTCTTGTAGACAAATCAAGTCCAATTGTTCCTTTTTTAGTAAATGAAAAACACTTTTTCTCTTCCGAGGGGAATTTAGACCATTACAATTCCAGCTTAACAGTTGCAGAGCCATGATGGGGTTACTTCGCTTTACCTCCAACTGCGCCAAGTGTCTGTTCTTGTTCTGTCAGTGGTGTCACTTTCTCTGGACCATGCAATCCAAAAGATAAGTTTGCTATATCTAGTATTCCTTTTTCCAGTGCTTTTGGCTCTTCTCCAGATTCCACTTCTTTCTGTAGATCTTCTCCGTGATCCTTCAGAAACCTATCTTTGTCATTGACTGATCTTATTTTTATCTTTCTTCCTTTATATTTAAAGGACAGGCCTTGAGGGAATTCCCACCTAAAGATGATTCTATTTCTTCTCAACAGGGCAACCAGATCTCCGTAGTTGAGCCTTAAGTCCAAAAGATGTTTTGGAATGTCCTTGAATATCTCCACACTTGAGTCGTAAATTTCTAAAGTCTTTTGGTAATGCAGATTCAAGATTTTGTCTCTCTCCTCTTTTGTTCAAAGGGTAATCAAACAGTCTCTCACCTTGTTCCTCCTTCCTCCTCTTCCAAGTCTAAATGCACTCACTATCTTAAATTCTTCCTTCCCCAAATCCTGTTGCCAGAAATCTGCAAATTCCTGCGTAAGAAAATCAGCCAAATTATCTTTCTCACGTTCTGGTACAGCCCTGATTCTTAAATTTCTTTGTTTCTCCTTCAATTCAATCATAGACAACGTCAAACCGTGGTCCTCAAGTTGCTTATATATCGGTGGTATCTTCTCTTGAGTAGCAGTTGCTATATCTTTTGCTTCTTCAGCTGTCTTTCGGGTCGAAGCAGATTCCTGTAGTAATTTTTCAATAGACTCTGTGTTGGTATTCACCTTCTGTCCCAAGTTATTAATGCTTGTAGTATTCTGGTCAATTTTAACTGATGCTTCGGCTACTTGTTTATTTGTTTCAGCTACTTGTTTAGCTAAATTTTCCAGAGATTCATTAATTTTTCCAAGTGCCTGAGCCAAAACGTCTTCGGACGACATAACTTTTGGTTTAACTTGCGGAGGTGCAGCCCTTGGTATTCCAGATGGTCCAGAAGGACCAGATGTTGAAGCCCTTCGCTGCAACGCAGTATCTGTCCGATAGGGTCTGCCAGACCTAGTAGTTTTTTCCTGCGTCAACTCTAACTTTCCTCTTCCATCTGCCATAACACTCTCATGAGAGTCCAAGGTCGATCCCACGGCTGGAATTTGTTTTGAAATGGAAAATTCCTCTAGCCCAGTTGTTATTGTAACAATGTCAAGCCTCCTCTAGGGGGACACAGTAACAGCCAAAGCTTGCAACTTTAAAAAAGGAAAATAGTCCTTATAAGTCCCCCAGTTCACATAAAAACAACAGTTTCAGTTGCACTTAATCAGTTACTTTAAAGCCAGGAGAAGTTCAGAAACACTGTATCTCTTTTGCAGAGTTAGCTGTCAAAAGTCCTCTGCTTACCGATAGACTTTCCACAGAGCGGCATTCCTTATCTCAGGGCAGTCTGTTCCCAGGTTTTAGGCGGTGGATTTTAGCTTCCTTCTCCCCTTTTTTTGCAGATAAATACAGTTCAAACCTTTCCCCCCTCCTCTCCTGCAAACCGGAGGGGAGATCGCTTTCCTGATGTTGAGATTTAAATCTTTTTTCAAGCGTCTTTCAGAGTTTCCGCTTACAGTCTCTTTGCTTTGATCTATTTACAAGAAAGGAAGGCAGACTTCCTGTTTATACCTTCCCGCTTCGGTGCCGAATTAGCTTGTTTTCCCCTTTAAATCCAATTTAATCCTGCTCACGGGTAGTTGCTTTCAAAGTCAGATTGTCTCAGGGAAAAGTCAGCGCTCTCCGATAACGGCTATGCGGCTTCACTCCGCGGAAGAAGCAGTCGACTCTCAGCACCGCGCCGCTCACCCCGTCTCGCTCCGGAGCCCTTAAAAGGGTCCCTTCGCAATTTGGGGGGGCGCAAAAGGTGCCCGCCGAGTCCCCACGTTCACAGGCTTCACCCGCCTGTGATTTTTAAAGGGCCCCCGCTTCGCCGCAGCGGTCAGACCCGATCCCGCGGAGCTGGTCCCTCAGAAACTCAGAGGGAGTCCGCCATTACCGATGGCGCCAACCCGGAAGTCTGGGAAAACCATAGCTTTAACTATACGGACCTTTGTTGGCAAGGTGATGTCTCTGCTTTCTGCTTTTTAAGATGCTGTATGGGGCCCTTCTATTAAATAAACCCCACAATCCCATTCTCAAAGTTAATATTCTGAAGCTGCATGTGCTAAATGTTCAAATGTGTACGTGTGTCTTTGCTAAATATGTGTTTAAACTGCTGTGTTCTCATCCTCAAATCTTTAGTGGCCACAGAGGAACTGTCATTGCAGACTGTGGGCTTTTCCCAGACAGAGGAGCCTCTTTATAACTGAGACATAATTTCAAATACAGTTCCCCATGTCTTTCGATATGGTGGGCAAGAGATCCAAAGAAACATTCCATAATACAGCAAAAGGTCCCACATTATGTTTTGAGTTGAAATCTCACACTTGTGTTGTATGTAGGTTTTCTAGATGACCTCAGCTCACTGCCCTGGGGAAGATGCATATTTGCCCAGTGATGGGAGCACCATGGGGTCTTGGGCAACTAGGCTTTACCCTCACTTTTTGACTCTCTGGTTCCCCTAGCCTTAGCAGTGGGCTGCCCCCCTTGGTGGATTATGTTGCTGTGCTCCTCTCACCAGGAGGGAAGAGGAGAGTCCTGTGTTACCAACTGGGACAGCTGCCGCCTGAGAGTGGGAAGAGCTCACCGCCTCCAGCTTCTGTTCCCCAGTCTCAGCTCCCAACCCAATGTTCTTATCCTGTTCTCCCTCTTCATCCCTCTTAGCCTGCCACTCTACTCCAAAGCCCAGAGACACTTCAGGACTCATGACAGTTAGGATAGCTCAGTCAGTAGAGCACGAGACTCTTAAATCTCAGGGTTGTGGGTTTGAGCCTCATGTTGGTCAAAAAGATTCCTGCATCGCAGGGAGTTGGACTAAAGTTGGACCCTCGCAGCTCCTTCCAACTCTACAGTTCTATGATTCTATGAAAACAATTTGCAACCAAAAGAATAGTGTCGGTCTATATATATATATATATATATATATATATATATATATATATGATGCCAAAGGACAGGGTAAAGACACCAAATGTTGATCTCTTATTGTATTCAGGAAGATTTATATGCCACTTCATCAAACAAATCCCTAAGCAGTTTACATAATGGTATAAAACAGGGCAAATGCAGACAAGTCGGCGAAAATTGGTTAGAAAACAGCTTGGCAATTAGTTGCCTGTATTGGACAGCAGACAGCTAGCCTATAGTTACAGGTGCAGCCTCAATAGTGTTATGTCAGCATGCATTTACCCAGCCTCATTTACTCCAAGTAGCCACCCAGGCAAGTGCTACTGATACCCACTCATCACATGCCCACCATAATTTGGCAAGATGTGGTGTTGGCCAAATATCCATTGTTAGATATGCTTAGCTTACTCCCTTTTCTTTTCTTTTTTCAGACACCACAGTAATGGTCCTAGCAACCGCTCTGCAGGTGTGACTGGGGCACAATTTGTGACATGGAACAGAATCCTTAGAAGGTGGCCACGCCATGAAGTTCAGCAGACGTGGAAATTGGGGTTGAAATCCCGCAGCCTTCACAGCAGCAGTTCCTGGGCACCCGAACTAAATGCAAAGCAGCAGCAAAGACAATGGATTAGGAAGCCCACACGTGCATACGTTTATTCAAAATTAAGCCTGGTCGCCCCCTTTCCACCACCACCCCTCCCCACTCTCACAAAAAAAACCCAGGCTTGAATTTGACTCGTACCTTTAATCTTCAACAGTATTAGTGAAACAATTATAAGAGCACATTAAAGCCATGTAAAAGTTTGAAGGGTGGATGATCAAAGGAGGAAGATATGTAAGAACAAGATGGAAGGCTGGCTTTGAGATTCAAAGCTTTTGTGTGCTCTAATCATTTCACTAGCATTCATAAATCTTTAACATCCTTTTCTCAACTCTTTTTCATTTTTATGTATTCAATTAATTTCAACAGAATGTGTTCTAAATACATCATGTGCCTTGATGTCATATAGGAAGCCTGTGGACTCTTCAGAGGGCTGACGGAAACAAAACACACGTCCATTCTGGTGGGCAGAACCCATCTCTCCACCATGTGGGTCCCTGGTAGATTGTGCCCTGTTTCTGTTTTTGTTTTTATGAATCAAGGAGGTTGACCATTCCAGAACTTGCCAATAGGAACTGATAAAACTGCCCTCAAATGACTGCATGGAGCAATCCTGGTGGTGCAAACTAGGGTCCTTTTGCATTTTCATAGGATCCTGAGGTGCTGATTGAAATGAATACCGTATTTTTCGCTCTATAGGACGCACCCAACCATAGGACGCACCTTGTTTTAGAGGGGGAGAACAAGAAAAAAAAAATCTTCCATTTCTCCTTCCGCTTGGCTGGAGGGGCGCTGCGCAGCTCTCCCTCTCTGCTGAAGCCAGGAGAGGCTTGCTCTCCCGGCTTCAGCAAAAGGAACCCGAAGCCTCCGGAGCACAGCGGGAAGTCGCGCTGCACTCCAAAGGCTTCAGGGATAGCAAGACTCTCCTGGCTTCAGCGAAAGGAACCTGAAGCCTCTGGAGCACAGTGGAAACTCGCGCTGCACTCCGAAGGCTTCAGGTGGCTATCCCTGAAGCCTGGAGAGCGAGGGGGTCAGTGCGCACCAACCCCTCTCGCTCTCCAGGCTTCAGCGAAAGCAATGCGAAGCCTCCGGAGCATGGAGGGAGCACTCGCTCTGTGCTTCGGAGGCTTCGCGTTGCTATCGCTGAAACCAAGGAGCCTACATTCGCTCCATAGGATGCACACACATTTCCCCTTAATTTTTGGAGGGGGAAAAGTGGGTCCTATAAAGCAAAAAATGTGGTAAATCTAGTAAGCAATTTTGTAAGTTTCAACTCTTCGTAGGACTAGCGTCAACTACCACCCTAACTTCTTACTATGCCTATATCGCAAATCTTTCACAGATGGCCTGAAACAGTTAGTTGTATGCCAGCGGCTTACACCGTTTTGTATAATTATTCAGCCTCCCGACATGATGGTTTTCTTGGTGCCTGTTTGTTGATTAAGAGTCAGCAGATCTACAGGATGCTCTCTTGTAATCATGCCAAGCTGCCACATATCTCTGCCTTCTCTAAGGATACGGAACCAACAGCTAAGGTGTCTCATTTATGCATGCTCAGTGAACCAGATATATTTGTTTGCTTACTGATTGATATTGACTTTGCTGATGCTGGCGATGCCAACGCTTGCGGTTTCGGAAGCAGCAGCATTTCATGCGACATTCTGCGCAGGCTGTGCTGTGGGCGGAGGACACCCTCTGTCATCTCCTCTGCCCCTCTCGGTGAACTGTAAATCATGTCATTAAACATCTGCTTCCAAAGTGCAGCCATTTGTCATGATCCCAGGGACAATGCCACTTTTAATGCATGCACTTAGCTTGCTATACCTTGTGGCACTGGGGCAGGATTGTCACCTCTCGGTGCCGTTTAAGTACTTAATGACAGATGTTCTAGGATAATGTGCGCTAACCCCATGGCTCATGAAGATGCCAATGAGCAATCACTAGTGGAATCAATATGTTCAGTAGAGCAAGGTCTATTCAAATTCATGAGGAATAGCCCACAGCTAAATGGGGCTGCTACTTTTAATTTTCAAGGACTGATAGTCATTTCCAGTAATCTCTTCAACTCAGATTATTTCAATCCTTGGATTTTTGGCATTAGAAATATTACACTACATGGCCTACGTAATGGATAGTTCCCTTAAATATGTAACTTAACTTGTACTTCAGACAACTCACATTAAGTTGCCACTGGGTTTTTCATCTCTTCTTCTCATGAGGAGTGAAGCCAGTCGAGTTATACTTGTGTGGACTTTTTATACTTTTAAACATTTATATTTAAGGGTGCCTTCAAACTGTCACTATTTTGCAGGAGGGATCCAAGCACAAACAAGAAACTGAAGTTTATGCTATTAAAGTGCTCTGTTCCCATAGCATAACAACTCCACCTTAAAAATGGATTATTATTAGTATGATTTGCAGTTAGGAAAGTGACAGAGAAATGCTTAAAAACTAAGTGTGGGATGCATGGACAAATAACAGGAAGACATAAATATCATGCATACAAATCAGGATGAATGCCCATTATGGGACAACCATCCCTTAAATAAATCAGTAAGGGCAGGGTAGAGTCCAACCACAATGTAAGCTATGTGCAAGCAAATAAAGATGGATGCCGAATAAACAGATCATCTAGAGAAGCCCTAAGCTTCAGACCAGGAAATATGTGTCATTGCTACTGAGTTCTACCATCACTTGGGACTAAGAGTGGCTGATTAAATTTGCTGTACTCCATTATGATGGATCAGTGCCTCTCATGACAAGTTGGAGGGTGACTCCCTTCTTTCATTGCACTGCGGCTTCTTCCTGCCCCGCCAGAGTGATGGAAGAAGCCCCAGGATGCTCTGGGCACTGAGCCAATGCTGGCATGGGAGAGAAGCCCAGCAATATGGTCATGGCTGGGACCATAGCTTGGCTTTTTGTGATTTATTATGATAGTCATTTACTACAAACAATAAAAATGACACTGACTGCACACTCTCATGCACACTCTTTCATATGCATGCACACGGGGAGACACACTGTCTCCCTCCTAAGCTGATCCATGCAGATGGGCTCGGCCCAGTATACCTGAAGGAGCGTCTCCACCCCCATCGTTCAGACCGGACATTGAAGTCCAGTTCCAAGGGCCTTCTGGCAGTTCCCTCACTGTGATAAATGATGTTAAAGGGAACCAGGCAGAGGGCCTTCTCGGTACTGGCTCCCACCCTTTGGAATATCCTCCCACCAGATGTCAAGGAAATAAACAACTATCTGACTTTTAGAAGACATCTGAAGGCAGCCCTGTTTAGGGAAGCCTTTAATGTTCAATGTATTTATCATGTTTTTAATATTCTGTTGGGAGCCGCCCAGAGTGGCTAGGGAAACCCAGCCAGATGGGCAGGGTATTACTACTACTAATAATAATAGCTGACAAGGTAGGCTTGCCACTCCCTCACCACTCTTCAAATGATTGACCTGATGACCAGGGACGGTGCACTTTTCATCTCGGTTAGGGTGCTGGGCTCTGCGCACTCCAGCACTGTGTTTACTTTTTTGTTTACTTTTAGCCAAAACTGGTGGGGTTTTGAGGAGTTAGAATTAGTTTGGGGGCCAGAACTGAGGGTTATCCCCCTCTGGTTTAGATATCGCTGGCCTTAGTATCTGAGTGGAGTCAGGAGCTTCCTGTATCAGTTGTTTTTTGCTTGGAGAAAGATAATCAAGTTCTTGTCTAGCTTTATCATCATCACCATCACCATTAAAATTAAACGTATATATCATCCTTCATCGAATGATCACAAGGTACTTTCTTGGCGGAGTATGGAGAGATGGGAGGATGGAGGAATGAAATTCATGTCCTGCTACTTTTGCACTGAAAAAAAAATCATAAAAAATTCCTGATTTCTAATCCAGGGGTCACCAACATGACCCCTTAAGGCCTTTTCCTGGTGCCTATATAGCACAAGCACTTTCTCCTTGATTTTGAAGAAAGGATGGTTATCTTTTTTTCTGCCTTGAAAAGTACATAGAGCTGAAGGAAGAAGTTGGAAGACTGACACCCAAAAGTTTACAAGTGCAAATATTTTGGGGTGAAAATTAAGAGAGATTTCAAGAGGGGCAGTGGGCTCCAGATGAGAATAGATGGCCTACAATGAGCCCTTTTCAACTCTCTGATTCTATGATTTACCCACATTCAGCGTTCTTCATTCTAATTCACTCTGCTCCGAGAAAACACAGTATTTTATGCATCTGCTCTAAATATGAAATTATAAATGCAATGTAGCTTTTTGGGCCCACAT